CCCTCTGCCCCCAGAGGGACCATACCCTCCTTTTAACCAAAACTGAGAACCCTTTGGCTAATGATACTCCAGACCAAATTTGGTCAAAATCCCTTCATCGGTACAAAAGGAGAAGGATCTTTGATGTTTTCCTCTATTTCCCCTAATGGGCCTCACCCATCTGCCCCTAGAAGGGGGCCCACACACCTCAGTTTATACAAAATTGATTCTTTTGTCCCAAATCATGCTTCAGACTGCATTTGCTTTAAATCCCTTCACTTGTATAGCAGGAGAAAAAAAACACTCTATTTCCCCTATTGGGCCCCGCCCCTCCGCCCCCAGAGGGGCCACACTCTCCGTTTATACAAAATTGAGTCTCCTTTGTCCAGAGATGCTCTAGGACAAATTGGGTCAAAATCCTTCTATTGGTTGAGAAGAAGAAGATTTTTAAAGATTTACCTATTTTCTCCCTATTTGGCCCCGCCCCTCTGCCCCCAGGGGGACCATACCTTCCGTTTATACAAAACTGAGAACCCTTTGGCCAATGATGCTCCAGACCAAATTTGGTCAAAATCCTTTGAGCCGTTCAGGACTAGTAGCGTTTTAAAGGAAAAAGTTGACGGACGACGGACGACGGACAACGGACGACGGACACCGGACGACGGACGACGGACGCTGCGGCATGGGATAAGCTCACTTGGCCCTTCGGGCCAGGTGAGCTAAAAATGGTTCCCCTTAACCCAAGGATGCTTTAGACCAAATATGGAACAAATCCTTTCATTCCTACAGAAGAAGAAGGATTTTATAGGATTTGCTATATTTCCCCTATTGGGCCCGCCCCTCAGACCCCAGTGGGGCCAGACCCACGGTTTTACAAAATTGGTTCCCATTCCCCCAAGGATGATTCTGACCAAATATGGAACAAATCCTTTCATTCCTACAGAAGGAGAAGGATTTTAAAGAATTTGCTATATTTCCCCTATTGGGCCCCGCCCCTCAGCCCCTAGGGGAGCCACACCCTCGGTTTATACAAAATTGGTTCCCTTTCCCCCAAGGATGCTCCTGACCAAATATGGAACAAATCCTTTCATTCCTACAGAAGGAGAAGGATTTTAAAGAATTTGCTATATTTCCCCTATTGGGCCCCACCCCTCAGACTCCAGGGGGCCAGACCCACGGTTTATACAAAATTGAGTCCCCTTGGCCTAAGGATGCTCCAGACTAAATTAGGAAAAAATCCCTTAAACCCTGCGGTAGAAGAAGGATTTTTAAGGTTTTACCTCTACTTCCCCTATTGGGCCCCGCCCCTCTGCCCCCAGGGACGCCACACCCTCTGTTTATACAAAATTGAGTCCCCTTGCTCTAGATCAAATTTAGTCAAAATCTACTTGGCCGTTCAGGACGATTAGCGTGTTGAAGGAAAAGTTGACGGACGACGGACGCTGCGGTATGGCATAAGCTCACCATAGTCCTTCGAACCAGGTGAGCTAATAAAAATTATCAGTAATTTTCATAAAGGTTTCCCAGACAAAGCCGTGTAATTATATTTCTTTAAAGATCTTGAATGTCATACAATGCAACACAAAATTATTTCTATGTTGTATTTATCATGGAATTCCATTTCAGCTGTCATTATGGAGCGTACCTGTGACACATTACCAGAGCCTGTGAAGATAAAGGTGAGGGGGCCTATGGACTTGGGTAGTCGTCCCAGAGCAATCTCGTACCCAGCATCCCTCACCGCCCTACGAGCCATCTCTGTATTAGTGTAGTTGTGGCTCGGACCGATGTGCTAGGTAAGATTGTAAACAGAGACATGTCTAACAAACTGTCAAATGAAGAAACCTGTTTACATTACAATATGGTGTGGGTGACTGAGAATTTATGTTACAACTTCACAAACATGATTACTACCTTGGCTTACTTGTTAAAATGAAAATTTAAAAATCTAGTTCAGATTTATAAACTTTGGAAAATAATGATACTTGATCTAACCTGGATGTTTTACCATGAAGGGTGTGGGTATTACATGGTCGTGGGTGGTGCAGATCTAACCTGGATATTTTACCATGAAGGGTGTGTGTATAACATGGTTGCTAGGTGGAGCAGATCTAACATGGATGTTTTACCATGAAGGGTGTGGGTATTACATGGTCGTGGGGGGTGCAGATCTAACCTGGATATTTTACCATGAAGGGGGTGGGTATAACATGGTTGCTAGGTGGAGCAGATCTAACCTGGATGTTTTACCATGAAGGGTGCGGGTATTACATGGTTGCTAGGTGGAGCAGATCTAACCTGGATATTTTACCATGAAGGGTGTGTGTATAACATGGTTGCTAGGTGGAGCAGATCTAACCTGGATGTTTTACCATGAAGGGGGTGGGTATTACATGGTTGCTAGGTGGAGCAGATCTAACCTGGATGTTTTACCATGAAGGGCGTGGGTATTACATGGTCGTGGGTGGTGCAGATCTAACCTGGATATTTTACCATGAAGGGGGTGGGTATAACATGGTTGCTAGGTGGAGCAGATCTAACCTGGATGTTTTACCATGAAGGGTGTGGGTAAACCATGGTTGCTGGGTGGTGCAGATCTAACATGGATATTTTACCATGAAAGGTGTGGGTATTACATGGTTGCTAGGTCGTGCAGATATACACTGGATGTTTTACCATGAAGGGTGGGGGTATTACGTGGTTGCTAGGTGGTGCAGATCTAACCCGGATATTTTACCATGAAGGGTGTGGGTATTACGGGGTTGCTAGGTGGTGCAGATCTAACCTGTATATTTTACCATGACGGGTGTGGGTATTACATGGTTGCTAGATGAAGGGTGTGGGTATTACATGGTTGCGAGGTGGTGCAGATCTAACCTGGATATTTTACCATGAAGGGGGTGGGTATTACATGGTTGCTAGGTGGTATATACACTGGATGTTTTACCATGAAGGGTGTGGGTATTACATGGTTGCTAGGTGGTGCAGATATACACTGGATGTTTTACCATGAAGGGTGTGGGTATTACGTGGTTGCTAGGTGGTGCAGATCTAACCTGTATATTTTACCATGAAGGGTGTGGGTATTACATGGTTGCTAGATGGTGCAGATCTAACCTGGATGTTTTACCATGAGGGGTGTGGGTATTACATGGTTTCTAGGTGGTACAGGTTGAAGAACTACCCTGGATATTTTACCATGAAGGGTGTGGGGATTACATGGTTGCTAGGTGGAGCAGATCTAACCTGGATGTTTTACCATGAAGGGTGTCGGTATTACATGGTTGCTAGCTGGTGCAGATCTAACCTGGATGTTTTACCATGTAGGGTGTGGGTATAACATGGTTGCTAGGTGGAGCAGATCTAACCTGGATATTTCACCATGAAGGGTGTGGGTATTACATGGTTGCTGGGTGGAGCAGATCTAACCTGGATGTTTTACCATTAAGGGTGTGGGTATTACATGGTTGCTAGGTGGTACAGGTTCAAGAACTACCCTGGATATTTTACCATGAAGGGTGTGGTTATTACATGGTTGCTAGGTGGTACAGGTTGAAGAACTAACCTGGATATTTTACCATGAAGGGTGTGGGGATTACATGGGTGCTAGGTGGTGCAGATCTATCCTGGATATTTTACGATGAAGGGTGTGGGTATTACATGGTTGCTAGATGGTGCAGAGCTAACCTGGATGTTTTACCATGAGGGGTGGGGGTATTACATGGTTGCTAGGTGTTACAGGTTGAAGAACTACCCTGGATATTTTACCATGAAGGGTGTGGTTATTACATGGTTGCTAGGTGGTACAGGTTCAAGAACTACCCTGGATATTTTACCATGAAGCGCGTGGGTATTACATGGTTGCTAGGTGGAGCGGATCTAACCTGGATATTTTACCATGAAGGGTGTGGGAATTACATGGTTGCTAGGTGGAGCAGATCTACCCTGGATGTTTTACCATGCAGGGTGTGGGTATTACATGGTTGCTAGGGGGTGCAGATCTACCCTGGATATTTTACCATGAAAAGTGTGGGGATTACATGGTTGCTAGGTGGAGCAGATCTACCCTGGATGTTTTACCATGAAAAGTGTGGGTATTACATGGTTGCTAGGTGGATCAGATCTACCCTGAATGTTTTACCATGAAGGGTGTGGGTATTACATGGTTGCTAGGTGGTGCAGATCTACCCTGGATATTTTACCATGAAAAGTGTGGGTATTACATGGTTGCTAGGTGGAGCAGATCTAACCTGGATATTTTACCATGAAGGGTGTGGGTATTACATGGTTGCTAGGTGGAGCAGATCTAACCTGGATGTTTTACCATGAAGGGTGTCGGTATTACATGGTTGCTAGCTGGTGCAGATCTAACCTGGATGTTTTACCATGAAGGGTGTGGGTATTACATGGTTGCTAGGGGGAGCAGATCTAACCTGGATGTTTTACCATGAAGGGTGTGGGTATTACATGGTTGCTAGGTGGTGCAGATATACCCTGGATGTTTTACCATGAAGGATGTGGGTATTACATGGTTGCTAGGTGGAGCAGATCTAACATGGATATTTTACCATGAAGGGTGTGTGGGTATTACATGGTTGCTAGGTGGAGCAGATCTAACCTGGATATTTTGCCATGAAGGGTGTGGGTGTTACATGGTTGCTAGGTCGTGCAGATCTAACCTGGATGCTTTAGCATGAAGGGTGTGGGGATTACATGGTTGCTAGGGGGTGCAGATCTAACCTGGATGCTTTAGCATGAAGGGTGTGGGAATTACGTGGTTGCTAGGAGGATCAGATCTAACCTGAATGTTTTACCATGAAGGGCGTGGGTATTACATGGATGCTAGGTGGATCAGATCTACCCTGAATGTTTTACCATGAAGGAGGTGGAGCAGATCTAACCTGGATATTTTGCCATGAAGGGTGTGGGTATTACATGGTTGCTAGGTGGATCAGATCTACCCTGAATGTTTTACCATGAAGGGTGTGGGTATTACGTGGTTGCTAGGTGGATCAGATCTAACCTGGATGTTTTACCATGAAGGGTGTGGGTATTACATGGTTGTCAGGTGGAGCAGATCTAACCTTGATATTTTACCATGAAGGGTGTGGGTATTACATGGTTGCTAGGTGGAGCAGATCTACCCTGGATGTTTTACCATGAAGGGTGGGGGGATTACATGGTTGCAAGGTGGTGCAGATCTAACCTGGATGTTTTACCAAGAAGGGTGTGGGTATTACATGGTTGCTAGGTGGTGCAGATCTAACCTGGAGGTTTTACCATGAAGGGTGTGGGTATTACATGGTTGTCAGGAGGAGCAGATCTAACCTTGATATTTTACCATGTAACCTGGATGTTTTACCATTAAGGGTGTGGGTATTACATGGTTGCTAGGTGGTTCAGATCTAACCTGGATGTTTTACCATGAAGGGTGTGCGTATTACATGGTTGCTAGGTGGTGCAGATCTAACCTGGAGGTTTTACCATGAAGGGTGTGGGTATTACATGGTTGCTAGGTGGTGCAGATCTAACCTGGAGATATTATGAGAAAAGGTGTGAGCATCAACTGGTTGCTAAGTAATACAGAACTACCCCAGAGATATTACCAGGAAGGGAGTGTGGTGTCCCAGGGCCAGCAGCCTCAGTCCCAGGCCGTGAAGTATGTTAATCATCCCCGACACACCAGCATATTTTCCAAAGGCTACCACACGCTGACCTTTGTCATCCACCATCTTCTCGTAGTCTATCAACCGGATATTCTGTTACATAATAAATAAAGAATACAGATATTCTGTAACATATTAAGGATGGTTAACTATATTCTGTAACATATAAAGGATAGTTTAACTACAGATATTCTGTAACATATAAAGGATGATTAACTAGATATTCTGTAACACATAAAGGATGGTTAACTACAGATATTCTGTAACATACAAAGGATGGTTAACTACAGATATTCTGTAACATATAAAGGATGATTAACTAAAAATTCTGTAACACATAAAGGTTGGTTAACTACGGATATTCTGTAACAGATAAAGGATGGTTAACTAGATATTCTGTAACACATAAAGGATGGTTAACTAGATATTCTGTAACACATAAAGGATGGTTAACTACGGATATTCTGTAACATATAAAGGATTGTTAACTACAGATATTCTGTAACATATAAAGGATGATTAACTAGATATTCTGTAACATATAAAGGATGGTTAACTACAGATATTCTGTAACATATAAAGGATGGTTAACTAGATATTCTGTAACATATAAAGGATGGTTTACTAGATATTCTGTTACACATAAAGGATGGTTAACTAGATATTCTGTAACATATAAAGGATGATTAACTAGATATTCTGTAACATATAAAGGATGATTAACTAGATATTCTGTAACACATAAAGGATGGTTAACTAGATATTCTGTAACATATTAAGGATGGTTTACTAGATATTCTGTATCATATAAAGGATGATTAACTAGATATTCTGTAACACATAAAGGATGGTTAACTAGATATTCTGTAACATTTAAAGGATGGTTAACTAGATATTCTGTAACATATAAAGGATGGTTAACTAGATATTCTGTACCATATAAAGGATGGTGAATTATGGATATTCTGTAACATATAAAGGATGACTAACTACAGATATTCTGTAACATATAAAGGATGGTTAACTACGGATATTCTGTAACATATAAAGGATGGTTAACTAC